AACCTCCATTAGGTTGAATCCTGCTCATGTTTGTAATCTCTGATTTCAGAAAGAGCCCAGTCCCTTTAAAAGTCTCCCTGATTCAGTCAGTCTCATGCTGGATGGTTTCCCTTTTGTAAGGTCAGCTGTGCCACATAATATAATACAAACACAGGAGTAAAACCCACCATATTTGCAGCCCCAGGGGGTATGCGGCATGTGTGCATGGGGGTGGGAGAAGGCTCTTGGGGGACGTCTTAGGATTCTGCCAGTCACAAGAGCCAAGCGAGACTTTTTGGGTAGAGATGATGGGAGGTCATTCCTGGCAGTTTGAGAAAAAGTCATCCAGTAACGTTTGAGGTTATTTTGCCTTTTGGAGGGTGTAAAACAATCTCATGGAAGGTTTGGGCCCTCATCCTAGCAACATCACACTATGTCGTCTATGATAGCAGCGTCCATGGCCCCTTGAGCCCGTCCATCATTTCCAGGCTATGGAGCAGGGTGTGGGGACGGCATAGATAAAGAGGAGGGCTGAACAGTGTCAGTTGGGTGTCTGGAGCTGCAGAGCTTTCTACCTTTGAGCTGCTGTGTGTTGGTCATGGGAAGGATGTAAACCAGACTTCCTTGGTGTTGGCCACCACCACGATTGTCACAGTGACGTCTGCTCAGTTCCCTGTACACACTGGTGTACACTGTGCAGCACCTGTACTTGTGGCAGGACAGATTCCTCAGTGCCAGGTCTGCCCCTGGACAGACTGTACTGGGGCTACAGCAGGCTCCCCCATGAGCCTACAGTTGTGATGAGTCCCTGAGAATGAGATTAGGAAAGATGAAACGCCGGGGAGGGGGAGGGGGGCTGTTGGCACCCACCATGGGAGTGCTGATATGGAATTGGATGACTGAGTCTGTTTAGGGCCATCCAAGCGCGATAGTAACTTTGGGGCTAGAAAGGAAGATTCTTAAAACTCAGGATCTTGTAGTGTTGGTCCAACACTTCTTGGGGGAAGAGGGCAGGCCTGAGGCTGGAGTAGAGGTGCTGGGCACCAGGCCCCCTTGCTCAAAGGCACTGGGCCCCAGCATCTCCAGCTAAAGAGCCCCCATTCAACATCCAGGTATACTGAGCACACTGCAGCTTGAGATACAGGGAGAGAGTGGGCAGAGGACCCTAGGTGGGCCACTTGTGGGTATAGGGCAACCTAAATTATGTCATTGGCACCGGAGGGAGACATTGGTGTCTTCAGAACTTGGCTGATGTGGGTCAGCTCCAAAGACCTCAGTCACTTCCACGTCTAATAACCTGATGGCTCTCACTTGTTGAGCAATAACTAAATGACAGTTCCTGTGCTCAAAGCTGTCGGTATCGGTCAGGGCTCTTAGTGGCAGGCCAAGGAAACGTTCTCTGGCTGATCCAAGAGAGAAAATGAATTTATTGAAAGGAAATGGGGTAGATCATAAAATTGCAGAAAGGGCTAGAGGATCAGATGTGCGGCCAAAACCAGGCCGCAGAACAGGTCTGGGGAGGACCCCATGGCTGCTGCGTGATCCAGACCCTGTGGCCAGCACCCAGGGCACTGCAGGGCTTGGACCCTGGGTCCATCCTCTGGCACTGTGGCCGCTGTAGCCCCGGGAACTCCATCTTGTCATTACCACCACCAGAGAGAGGTCTTCTTGGCCATTTTTTGGTCACTAGCTCCAGATTCAAAGTGTTGAAAGGATGCTTCTGTTTGATGGAGGCTTAGTTGAGAAGGAGGCTGGGAATTTGTCACGTGTGTCTTCAATAATAAGAGGCCTGCCCCCGGCCAAGATCCACAGGAAGTGGAATTCCGGAAACAGAAAGGCAGTGAGTGGGTGGGACAGTTCACAGCATGTCTGCCACACACACATTATTTCATTCATTCCTGGCTGACTACCCAGGTATTGTTATCCTCACTTTATGAACGACGATAATGAGGTACAGAGAGGTTGAGGACTTGTCCGTGGTCACACAGCTATTAAGTGGTAGCCTCTCCTTTTAAACTTGGACTGTCTGACTCCGGAATTCATGCTCGCAGACTCTGCTCTATACCTCCACTGGATGTTGAGGAAATCGAACTTCTAGGGTCACTGAAGTTGTGGATTTCAGACTGTGGACTGTGTGACCTAAAGGAGAGACTTTCCTTGGGGTGTGGGTGCCACCAGCTGATGCTCTAAGAATTGGCTCCATCGTGTCCTTGTCTGACTACAGTAACAGCTCTGTCCAGACACATACGAAGTGGCCCCTCAGGGAGGGCTCGGGGATGGGGCTGAGCAGAACGCAGCTCAGGCTCCTGTCTTGACTCCTGTTGAGTCACTCCCTTGGTTCCCGCGTCTGTCTCCTGAAGTCAGTGGTTACGAGGAAAGGATGTCTCCATTCCTTGGCTCAAGATGGGATGTATTGATCCCTGTTTTCCCTACTCTTTTCCAATGCGTGCAGTATTGACTTCAGCTATAAAGGGAAAGGTCCTGTCCTGCACATGTGCCAAGGTCACCCTACCTGCCCACCTTACTGCTGCTCTTCTTTCCACCTGGACCACCTGTTCCTTCCCTTCTATTCACCACCAATCCACCTAGATGAGAGCCAGCTCCTTGTGTTCCTGGAGGCTTCCCCACTCTCTTTCACTGTGGAATTTCTTCTGAATCGATGGAGAGTGCCTCTTAATTTGGGTCTTAATCGATCCCTTCTTGTTTTATGTGGCTGTCTCCTCCTACCAGCGAGATTGAAAGCAAACTAGGGGCAAGGATTATCCATTGCTCTGATTTTGTCTCCACCTAGATGGTACAGTTTTTGACTTACAACAGTCACATGGAAGGAAAGAGAAGTTTGGTGCCAGAGGGAACTGGATTTGAATCCCAGCCCAGCTATGTACCTGAGCAATTTGTTTAAATATTCATTCATTCAACAATATTTATTGAGGACCTACTATGGGCAGGCGCTGTACTAGGCACCAAGAATGCAAAAGTGAGTAAACAGACATGGTCTCTGCTATCATGGAGATTATGGTCTAGGGAGGGGGGTGGATGTTAACCCATTAACCAGATAATCTCACAAAAAAGAGAAAACGACTAAATGCAACAAGCTCGCTGAACAAACTCCTGGAATTACAAGAAGGGGAAGTTGATCCAACTTTGGGGGGTTGTGCAGAGAAGGTCAGGAGCCGCATTAAGCCTCAGCTTCCTCATCTGGAAAATGGATATTTCACCCACCCAGCTCACTAGGTTGTTGTAAACGAGGTAACAATATAAGGCACAGTATTTTAAAGTGTGCAGTAAATGTTGCCATAATAAAGGCTGGTAGGTTGGCCAACTGAGTGGTTAATTTCTGAAGGGGAGTGGGGTTAGGCAGATATGAGCATTTCCTGTGCTCAGATGTTCCCGAGGACAGTGAGTCTCAGATACATTTTCCATCAGAGTCAGCTGGGAAGCTCTTAAAAAATGCAGACACTTGCCTTCCACCTTAGATCTACGAGCCAACCAGAATTTCCCAGGGTGGGGTTTGTGCATTAAAAAAAAATCTTTAAACAAAGCCTCTTGCAAAATGCACAGTTACAAAGAGAAGGGAAAGAACCATCTCCCTCCCTTTTCTTTCCTCTCTTCTGTCTACTCTTGGTAGTCACCAAGGTCAACAGGCTGATGTGAATCCTGTGCTTAATAAAGGAAACTTGCAGCTAGATTCTTGCATAGGGTTTTTGTTTTCTTTGTAAAACTATTCTCATACTAGATGTTTTCCTCTGCATTTTGTTTTTCTTTCTTTCTTTCTTTTTTTCATTTCACAACACAGCATACACATCTCTTCAGATTTACAGATATAGGTCCAAATCTTTTAAGAGCCACATTATATTCTGTGGGATGGATGGGCCATATTTTATTCAAAGCTCTAGTGGTGGATATCCGGGTTGTTTTGATTTCTATAAACAGTAAAGCAATGCACAACTTGGTAAGAATGTCCTTACTTCCGGGTACTTTTATTTCCAAAGGATAACTTCCAAAAAGTGAAATGGATCAAATGACAGGTGCACTTTTAATTGGATAGATATTGACAGATTTGCTTCCAAAATGTCTATGGCAGCCACGTCCCCACCAATAAAGTGGGAGAGCTGTGTATTTTGGAAAAGCTCCATAGGAGATTCTGTAGTGCCCAGGATAAGAACCACTGGTCCCGAGCCATCCCAGAATGGCCCTGAGTTCCTGAAAGCGATGTCAGGAAAGAATGAGCAGACTCCCCAGGGATATGAAGAAATAGTTCTTATCAGCCTCCCATCTCTCTCAGGCTGGGGGTGCCAACCCTCCTTCTTCTGGGGAACTTCCTCCAAGGCTCCTATATAAAATGTCATTGTGAAAAAGAGTGAAGGAGGATCGAGCTTGGGGTGTTCCTCAGGATCTAGGAAGACCTCTGGGCTAGTGAGTACTATCCTGTTGCAGTGAAGCTGGTCCCAAGTAAGTGTTCGATCTCCTGGGAGGCACCTGGCTCAGGCTGAGAGGTTCTAGAGGGCTGACTGGCACCCCATGTGGCTTTCAGGGGTGAACTGGGGCAGAACTTCTCACTCTCAGCCTTTCACATTCCTCCTGAAGTACGTGAAATCTCTCCTTGGCCGGGGAAGGCAGAGAGTGGACGATGTGAGCTGTTTGAGCTTTGAAGAGGGGCCACACTTTCTAAGAGCTGCGTGTTCCTAGAAAGGCCAGCAATCACTGTTTCTTGATCCTTTCTTGTTTTATAGACTCTGAAGAGCCCATTAAGTACAAACAAATAGAGGTAATGCTCCCTTCGTGGCATCCAGGCCCACAGGACAGTCAGCCTTGGCTGCCCCTCATGGTCGGCTTCGTTCTGTTCAGAAGGATGTCCCACTGAACTGGAGCACTGGAGGCTGGGCTCAGCACCAGCTTTTGGGGCCCATCCTGACTTCTATCCATTCTTTCTCTCTCTCCACCTCACTACTCCAGCTAATGGTGTAGCTGTGATGTGTGTGTGTGTCCAACTGTGTTCTCCCTTACAGGACAAAGCCAAGATGAAACTCCTGCTACTTCTGGCTCTTCTCTTTTGGACAGTTTCGGCATTTCATCTGAGTAAGTCTCCTTGGCCTTCAGCCTTTCTTTCTCTGCTTGACTCCTTTCTACAGTTCACAGGGGCAGAGTCACACAGCCAGCGTATTCTCTGGCCATCTCCCATTTCAGGATCTCTGCACTTAAAGGAGCAGCGACCCCAGAGCTGGGAGTTGAAGGGACTCCTTGGGGCATCTGCATGCCTGCCGTCTTGGTTCTACTCTGACATTCTCAATGTCATCCTTTCTGCAAGATGCAAATGGTGGTCACAATGGTGGCTTCTTTTACTTTGCCCTCACTGAGTGTACTGTGCTAAGTGTTTTCTATGCATTGTCTCCTTTAACGGTCATAGCATCCCCATGAGGTATGTGGTGCGGTATACCCATATCACAAAGAAATTAAGCTAGTAGATAATGGAACTAGTACCAGACCCACGACTGTCTGACTCTAAGTTCATGCCCTTAACCACCATGACCTCATCTGGGAAGCTGGTTTCTCCTCTCAGGGGCTCTGTTCCAGGCAGGGTCTCTTTCCAGAGCTGAGCATGCAGATGCCTAGGGCAAGGTGGGAGCTGTCCATGGTGCTGAGGAGGAAGAGGGGACGAGGCGAAGGAGGAGGCGCTTGGCCTTTTTCCCTGCCAGGGACTGAAATGTCCAACGTTGAGAACCCCTTGGGAGATGACAACCTGCCTCAGGTTGGGGAGATGCCAGAACATGAGGCAAAGGAGGCCCCTTTGGAGGAGCTGATGCTGCTGGAGAAAGAGGAAGAGAAGGGCTCTGGAAGTGAAGATGCCCCAAGGGAAGAGGGGACTGTTGAGTCCATCTCAGCCTTGGAGGAGGTGGGCAAGGACATTCAGTGCCCCAAGGAAGAAGACACAGTAAAACTGGAGGGCATCTCTGGGTGCAAAACCTGTCGCTTCCTCCTGGTGACGACAGCCTTGAATTTTAACTGTGCTCAGGTGAGTGGCCAGTGGCTGAGGCTGAGGCTGAGGCCCAGGGTGGGGACAGAGAGGGGATGCCTCCAGCCTGTGTAACTGGTCATTTTCCTTATTGAAGACCCCGGGGGTGTCAGCAGAGGCCCTCAGAGGTGCTGAGGATGAGAAGTGTGGGCCATGTGGAAACAGAATTTGCATTTTCATCTCCAGCCTTCAAATGGCTGCGGGAGTGGAGGCTGGGTGAATTTTGGACTAAGGTCATGTGAATTCCTGCAGGAGTGGCACTCCATTCTTCCTCTTTCATCCTGCTCTGCAGCTTACTTGCCAGAGATGCTACCATGGAAGACTCATCTCCATCCATGACTTCGGACTTAATAACCAGATCCAGTGCCAAGCTGGAGGGGTCAATGGGGGCCAAGTCTGGATTGGAGGCCAGGTCACAGGTTATATAAGTGGGGTCCCAGTTCTAAGTGGGGAGCACCTCCTGACCCCAGCCAGTGCTCAGCTTGCTGCAGACTTGTCTGTGTTTCCCGTCTCTGATCCCCTGAAGAACTGGGGATAGACGGACAGCTGGGTGAGACACCAAGGGGGCCGCCTAGGCATTGGGAAGAGCCACACGTTTAGAATCAGAAGATCTGGGTGCAAGTTCTGCTCAGTCTCTATGACTTGGGCAAGACTGTGAGCCTGGTTCATCATCTTTAGGATGTGGTTGCAACACCTGCCCTACCTCTTGTTAGGGCTGGAAGGATGAGTGTGTCACTGGGATGCATAGAACATGATGGTGATGATCACTGTGGATCTACATTTTGGTTGACCAAGACAGTGTCCACCGTGGTCCAGTGGTCCTTGAAGGGACAATTCCTGGCGGCAGCAGGAGGGTCAGGCAGGGATAGTCCCAGCTCTGCACACCTGCCTTCCCTTTGCCCCATGCCCCAGCCCACCTCTTCCCATTCTGTCTCCTCTAGGGTTTGTGCATACGCTGTCACTGGATTGACGGCAGTCCCTGGAATTTTGCGCCCTGGGTTGCAGGACAGCCCTGGACCGGTTGTGGTGGATGTGTGTCCATGTGTATCCCAGGTGAGGTGGGAGTGGGGATGAATGATGGCAAGTCCTGGGATGTGGGAGGAGCTCAGAGGAGAGGTTTTAGGAAAAGCCAGACCCTCCAAAGGAGAGGCCTCCTGGACCTTTAGACTCAATCTCTACTGCGGTGTGGGGTAGGGAAGGGAAAGGCCCCTCCTGGGTGGAGTCAGAAGGAACAAGAGGCTGAAGACCCCTTCCTGTTGTGCCTTCACAGGAGGCGGTTGGCGTAGAAATCACTGTGGCATAAGCCTTCCCTTCGTCTGTTCCTACTGAGCTGAATCCAGCCAGGAGCTCAGTGCTGCCACCTCCTGGACAGCCCCCTCACCTCCCCTCCTCTCCAGCCTCCAGCAATAAAACTGTTTTCCTAAAACTGATTTCTTTTTCCTCCAATCATTGATCTACTCTGCTTAGCTCCACCCATGAGCGCTCTGCTCTATAATGACTCTCTCTCTCCATCCTACCGTCTTTCATAAGAGAGGTCAGAAGTTATCATTCGCAAAGAAGATGGAGCACAGGGTGGGGTCTGTGGGGCTTTCTTGGAGACAAAGGAGTGGGCTCAGGTAGCTCTTTTCTTAGGACACGCAATTACTGGGCACACGAGTGGCAGGTGCTGCAAGTACCCCACCCATTTCTCTCCAGCCTTTCAAGGAGGACTCTCAATGTCCTGGATTTGCCTTTCCGTGTCTGAGGGCCTTTTTCCCCCTGCCACAAACTGTGGTTGCCTTAATGTGCCAGGATATTAGCATGGTCCTGGGAACGGTGCACAGCTCTCAGGAGTGGGTGTATGAGTACCCCAGTCCCTTGCCCCTCAAGCGGAAAAATGCTGAGGTATGTACTGGGCACTGTTTTCCAAGATTTCCCACGGGGATTAACTTCCAGTTATCCACTGAAGCAGCTGGCTTTATGGCCCACATTTTATTGGCTGCCTTTTCTTCCCCATATGAACTCTCCTCTTCCCTACTAGTTTCTCAGCACCTCCCAAATTAACTACTTGCACTTGAATCTTTGTCTCAGGGTCAGTTTCTGGGGCATCTCAATATAAGACAAGCTGCTATCTGCCCAACTCTATACAAGGCGTGGGAATACGACAAGACACAGCCCCCTGCTGTTTGGAAACATGCAGATGTTTGTAAGATAAACACGACAGCATTTACCAACGTCACAGCTTTACTGTGCACCCACGAAGTGCCCCCTGCAGTGGCAAAAATGACCTTACAAAGATGACCTTGTATGATCAGCAATTATTATCTCACTGCACAGAGCCAGGCTCAGAGAGGTTATGACCTGTTAAAAGACCTGCCCAAGGGTGGATATCTAAATGTGACCCATGGGATTCAACTTTCTCCAGAGCATGTTCTTTCAACCACTAGGATTCTGTGGCTGGAGGTGTTGGCTGCTTCTAGGACATGACCATATGGGGACAGAGCACAGAGGGGAGGCAAGAGACACTTCTTGAGCCTTGGGTTCATCTTGGGGCATAGGACTCCAACCCAGCTGGAGATGAGGCCGTTCCTATCAGAGGTTAGGAGAGGGGATTCTGAATCCTCTCTCTTCTGGGCAGAAAGTAAGGTGTCAATGCTCTGAAGCCTTTTCCCTCCAGGACTCCTCAAAATCATAGAAGGTCAGGTGGCCCCAGGGTCTTAGAGAGAAATCAAGAACATTAATGTTTTGAATGTGGCTCAGATAAGAGAGGCTACTTGCTCAAGCTTGCACAGTAAGGGGAGAAAGATAAAAATCAAACTGGGGTCCGTTGTAACTGTTGTTCCACAACAGTCTTGATTTCAATGACAATGAAATTCTGAAACACTACCCAGTGCTGAGTGCCGTGGAGGACGCAGATGGAGCAGGGCTCTCAGTGCTTGCCCTCGTGGGCTCTGCACTCTGGGGCGGGAAGGCATTGCTTCTCTTTATTCCAATGTCAGTAATAAAGAGTAACAGAATCTCCCATTTATTAAGCATTTAACAGGTGCCAGGCACTGTGCCAAGAGCCTTTGTGCTAAGATGGACGTTGTCTAGTTCCTCATAAATCTCTTCTGTTGGTGGCGTTTTTGTGGCAGAAGTGCAACTTCCAGTCCATGGAGGTCCCTTTGGGGGATGACAAGAAGGGGGAATAAAGGAGGCACTGGGCTCCTGATGACATTCTGTATCTCTATCTGGGCCCGGTTCCGTGGGTGCACCCCTCCGTGACAATTCCCTGAGCGGTTCATGCTGCAGTGCACATTGCAGGCTGCATGCTAAATGTCTTCAAGAAAAGTTTTAAAGGGTAAAATAAATGAAAGGACCGGCCTTACATGCCCAAATATGGGTTTATGTATCACTTCTCCTGCCCAAAAGGATGCTAACTAAACTCTAGGAAACTCAGCTCGTGTTCTTTACAGGAATCGCTGCAGTTCCTTACACACACCCAGAGCGGGAGCTCAACCAACTCTCAATGCTTGCTTGTGGACCAGGGGCACAGTTCAGTCACGGTTTCCTGACAAGGGTTACCCCCAGCCCCACACGCCGGGCACTGTTCTGAGAGCTTTACTGGAGTGGTTCTCATTAGCAGTAAGTCCTGTCATTAACCTCAGTTTACCTCAGGGTGGGAAAACTGAGGCACAGAGGGGCTGCCCTGGACTGACGATTCCATTACACATCATACTACCCTGCCGTCTGCAAAGCGGGGGCTGAATGGAAGCTTGAGACAAGAGGCAGAGTTTGAAACCCTTATGAATATAAAAGCAAACAGTAAGCCAGAGAGATGGCATTTCGTGGATGCTGAAAGTGTCGGCACCATTGGCTAGAATGTCTGGAGGTATAACATATTGGGGCAAATCAGAGAAAGCAAGGACCTGGGAGTCAGACTGCGGTCAGACATGCTGCTTCTTACTGCTCGTATAAACCTGGGCGAGTTATTTAACCTCCCTGAGCTTTCATGGTAGAAACGCAGACTAGGGTGGCAGGGTCTAATCTGTACTATGATGGCAAAGATTAAGTAGGGTAATGGATATAAAAGCCTTAATGAAGCGTAGTGGTGGATCCGTGGTGGACCTTCAAAAATGTTATTTCCAATTTTCAGTCAGACAGGCATCACCATGGTCACTGAAGAGATCACTGAAGCCACCGGGATGTCTCTGCCCAGGGTCAACACGGGGAAGGGGCAGGCTGGAGAGAAGGGAGGTCAGTGAGAGGAGGCAGCCATGAGGTGGATAAGGAGTCGGAAGTCCTAGGTTCGGGCTTGTCTCTGACTTGCTGTGTGATCTTGGGCAACTTGCTTAAGCTCTCTGAGATGCCATTTCCTAACGTGTAAAAGAGGGACGTTTATATGAAACAATGCTTATAAAGCTTATTGTGGTGCTGGCTCAAGAGAGTAGCTGGGCTTCTTGGTCATCCCAACCACTGAGTGAAGTGATGCCTTTGACCTGCCCCTGGGACTGAGGAGAACAAAGGGGAGGAGGGGCTAGCCTGAAATCCGGAGACCAGGTTTTGGGGCCCCGGAATTGGCCAATTCCCTCATCCTCCAAGATAAGCCGAGGGTCGGGTCCGTTGGGCTGGGGAGATAATGACCAAGGCCGTTACTCTGCAATCAGGCTCAGAAGTGACCTCTCAGATACTTCTCCATTTGCAGGTCCCCTGGGAGAGCAGAGGAGAGGAAGAGATCCAGGCCTTCTCACCCTGTGGGCTGTCTGTCCCTGGTGCCCTGAGCACGGGAGGGCTGGCCTGGAATGCAAGGAACAAATATGCACTGCCCAGCTAGTGACAGAGTTGAGTCACCCACCCTGACCAGCCCTCTAACTCTTGGAAGTGATATCCAGCAAATCAGGGCTCAGTGCTGGCCGGCCTTTCCTAGGACTGCAGTACATTTGTCTGGAACTTGATTGATTACAATGTTGACACTTTTGTTCATCGTGGTATTTTTGCATTGATTCTGATTTTTAAGAAAGACTGCATTAAATATTTACTTATCCCAACTACTACATTCTTTGGTGTCCCTGTAAGTTTTGCAGCTGAGATGAATGCCTCACTCACTTCCCATCAGTCCTGACCCTGGTGATGACAAAGGGCTGGTAGGAGATGAGGAGTTGGGGTCGGGGGTTGGATGGCCCACAGAGTGTCCAAATGACTCTGCATGAAGGTTTCCATTCCAGCTGCTGCCTCCTGGCCAGAAGACAGGCTTCGAGGTTGGACAAAACAGCACGTTCTAGCCCAGCAATCCTCAACAGGGGCAATTTTGCTTTCTGGAGGACACCTGGAAACTTGGGGAGACATTTCTGATTGATGTGACTGGGAGAGGCATGGTTGAGAAATTGTGTGCAGAGACCCAGAGAGGCTACTAAATGTTCTACAAGACGCAGGACAGCCCCCTAACTCCAACAAAGAATTATTGGACTCCAAATAGTAACAGTGCTCTCAATAGTTGAGAATCTCGATCTAGAGCCACAGCAGGGGAGGGGAGGGTATAGCTCAGTGGTAGAGTGTGTGCCTAGCATGCATAAGGTCCTGGGTCCAATCCTCAGTACTTCTGCTAAAAATAAATACAAACCTAATTACCTTCCCTGCTCCCAAAACAACAACAATAGAGCCAAAGCAGAAAGGACGGAGCTTAAGTTTTTCACATATTAAAGGTGAGAAAGAGAAGAAAAGGGAGGAGAGTGATTGAGAGGAAGAAAGTGAAGGAGGGAGGGAAGGGGAGACACAGAGATGTTTTGGAGCCTAAAAGACTTAGAAGTCCCAGTCCCCCCACTTCCTGCGTAACCCCAGTAAGTCACTGTCCCTCTCTGAATCTCCTCCTTCACACCTGTGAAGTAGGGCTAATCGTATACTCTCATGGGACTGAGGTTAGGAAGGTGAGGACTCAGGGACGTGATGCACAGAAAGTACCTGGTCTTGTGATGAATGCTCAGGAAGGCTGAGGCTTCCCTTCATCTCCTCCCTCCTCCCTTTGTGGTCTCCCTTCATTTGCTGGAATTCTGACCAGAGGAAGGCTGCTTCTGGGGTTAAAGAGCATCGTTCAGACTGGGATACCTTAGTAGGGGAAGGTATAGCTCAGTGGGAGTGTGCATGCCTAGTATGCACGAGGTCGTGGGTTCAATTCCCAGTGCCTCCATCAAAATAATAAATAAATAAGTAAACCTAATTATCTCCTTCTGCAAAATAAAATAAAATAAAATAAAATAAAAAACAAAAAACGCAGACTGGGATACTTTAAGGGCACTAATAATAATTATGTCTGGACAGTAACAATGCCTAGTCATCTGGGGCTTTCTCAAGCACCCTAGGGTGTTTGGGCACCAATATATGGCAGGAGGCAGGTCCTCAAAGTCCCAACAGAGAGCAGAGCCCAGGGGTGAGAGCACTGAGCAACCTCTTATCAGCTCCACTGCCCCCCACCTCCCCAAGCCTGGGGCAATCATCCTGGCCTCTTCCTACTTCCGCAAAAGTCCAGTATAAGGGCTGCCTCTGGCCCCCAGCAGCCAGAGGCACTGAGAGTGGAGGCTTCAGACTCTCAGGGGGTAAGCATTTCCTCAGCTGCCCAGGGAGCAGGGTCCAGGCCTGGGAAGAAGCTGGACACTACATGGCCTGGGAGGCCTGTCCTTAGGACCATAATTGCATTTGTCCTTCCTCCTTCTTCAGCTGTGTGAGTGAAACTGGCCCTGAGTGTGATCGGACCTCTTCCCACAGGGGCCAGGGTCTGAGCTGAGTGCTGTTCCGGGAACCAGTGACAGACCTTTCAGGACTTCTGTACTCGAGCTGACACCCCGCTTTCTTTTTCTGATTCTCCAGCTCAGGGGCTGTTCACTGGAGGAGAAGTAAGCCCTTTAGTTTGTCCTTTACTATTTTTTTTTAACTTTTTAGTTAGTTTGCCCTTTAATCAACCAGTCAAGCAAACGTTGTGTCTCCACTGTGTGCCAGGGTCTGTGCAGACATACAGAACATCCCCAAGGAGGGAAGGTGAAGCTGTGTCTTTGTCTGAGACTGAGTGGACATGAAGGGTCACCTGCTCCTGCCCCTCCTCCTGCTGGGGACAGTTTCTGCTCTGTATTTGGGTAAGTCCTCCCCTCCCCTTCTCATCCATCTTCCTCTTTTCTCTTGTTTCCTGCATCTTTTTGGCTCCCGTGGGGCCAGGACCACAGCCTCCCTTCTTCAGTTGACCCAGCCCATCTCTAGTTAGATTTCTCCTGGACTCAGAACTGTGACCTGAACTTTCTATCAGGGCTCCTTTGCAAGGAAAAACACCCACCTGTGAAGATGAAGGCCTTTTCACAGGTGCTTCCTCCCACCCCCTAAATACACATGTGGTGTCAGCCAGTGTCACGTTCTCATGCATTTGTGTGATGTGAGAGTTCTCCCCTTGTCCAACCCCCTGGAAATCCTTCCAGTTTTGGTTCCAGATGGCACCTCTGGGAAGGCTGAGTGGGGCTGCCAGAGCTGTCCGTGGTCCTGGAAGAAGGGAGCGCCCAACCTGATGGCCGTTACCTCTTCTTCCCAGAGAATGATACCCTTCATCTGGGCAGCCAAGAGACACGAGCAGACGTGAGCCAGGATCTGGAAAGCTCTGGGGAACAGGAGGGAGAGTTGGCTCTGAAAGATGTGGTGCTTGAGTCAGAAGGAGAGGGAGAAGAGGCCAACAATTCCAGCTGTCAAGACACCTTTGAGGATGAGGAGGCCATGGAGTCAGACCCAGGAGCCCTAGACGAGGATTTGCAGTGCCCCAGAGAAGAGGACACAGTTCAAATTCCGCGCAGTCCTGGGTGCCAGACCTGCCGCCGTTTCCTGTTGGTGCGGACCCTGAGGAAGTTTAGGAGTGCTCAGGTAAGTGGCAGGGAGGCTACTGTGGAGGACCTGGGGAGGAGAAGAGAGTGGATTAATCTCTTGTTCCCTATCATTTAGACTAGTGGTTATCAAAGCCTAGCATGGATCAGACTCTCCTGGAAGTCTCGTTAAAACACAGGTTTCTGGGCCCTATCCCCTCAGTTTCTGGTTTAGCAAGCCTGGGGCTTAGAGTTTGCATTTATAACAAATTCCCAGGGATGATATTGCTGGTTTGGGGACGGCTCTTTGAGAACCACTGATCTATATAAAAGGCTTTGGCATTATATATACCTGTGCTACGTCCTGTCATGGGCTACGGACAAGCCACTTCACCTGTCAGGGCTCCTGTGTCTTCCTTCATTTGTAAAACAGAGATGTAGGATACCACCTCTTAGAGTTGCAGTGAGGATTAAATACTACATGGAAAGTATTTAGAATAGTCCCTGGGTGGTTGAAAATTCTCAATAAATGGTGGCTGTAGTTATTCGGAGTCTTACCATTATTTTTCTGCAAGACGTTCCTAGCAACAAATAAAGGGGCAAGAGACAGGATTTGGGGGGGAGGGAACAACAGATCCCTGATTTCTGACTTGAAAAGGCATGTGGAGTCTCTCCTGGAGACTCGGGGACTCGAGGCAAAACAGAGTGGGTTCCCGACGCCACCTCTTCTCTGTGCAGAATGTCTGCAGGAGGTGCTACCGAGGCAACCTCGTCTCCGTCCACAACCTCAGCTTCAACCTTCGCATCCAGCAGTCTGCCTGCGGGATCAACCAAGCACAGATCTGGATCGGAGGCTTCATCAGGGGCTGGGTAAGTGAGGGGTCAACTCCCAGACACTGAAAGTTCTTTCTGATTTTCTCAATGAAACTTGCTGGCATCAAGTCTCAACCCGGCAGCTGACGTGACCTTAGAGCGGTGGGCAGTGAAGCGCTGCAACTGGCTGGTACTGACTTAGGAGAAACTGGTTGTGGGCTTCTCTGTCTAGCTCCGTGTTCAGTGACTTCCTGCTTGCAGCTTGAAATCTGCCATGGTGGATTTATTTACACCAAGGAAACTGGCAATCATCACAAACCAGGTTTCTTCCCTCCCTCTGCCTGTCACCTTCCCCAAGAGCGGGTTGTTAAATGTTTACCGGCACACCCTTGGTGTCAGGAGGGAGATTCTGTACCCAGCTTGGTCCCTTACTAGCTGAATGGCTTCCTCCAAATTGCCTTGTCTCTAAGTGGGGTCCTTCTTCTCCCAGAGTGGCCCTGGGATCGTGGACGAAGGCGTGCCATTATATTTGCTACTCAATTGTGATCCACGGGCCAAGAGTATCCATATCACCTGGTAGCTTGCTAGAAATGCACAATCTTGGGTCCCACCCCAGACCTCATGAATCAGAATGTGCATTTTAACACGATCCCTAGAAGATATGGATACACAGTAAAGTCTGAGATGCCTACCCTGTGTGGCAGCTGAAAGTGACGGTTGCTCTTCCATTGTTATTGTCTACAAACCCTCAGGGATGAGTCTCTAAGGTACCTGGCTCTCAGCCAAGTGGGCGGTGAGAGAAGACACAGTGTCAGGACGTGACACTCAGTAGGCATCCTCTGGAACCCCAGAATCTGTCTGTCTTCCTGGACCTCTGCCCTCTGACCCCGCCTATCTCTTCTCTAGTTCTTGTGCAGGAGATTTCGCTGGACTGATGGGAGTCGCTGGGATTTTGGATACTGGGCCTCTGGGCAGCCTGGGAAAGGGAGAGGCCGCTGTGTGGCCCTGTGCACCAAAGGTGAGGAGGGCTGAGCCCCAGGGCAAGGGGAAGGGGTGGTGAGGTGAACTCCCACACGTGTCCCTTTGAGCTGCCCGTACACACGTCCCCACACCCACACCTTTCTCCTCAGATGATGGGGTGTCCAGTGTGGGGGCTAGATGGGGGCTCTCTGTCCAGACAAAGCTGGCTCAGGGCCTGGGGACTCCTTTCCTTCCTCTGATATGACAGCAACAAGGAGTGAGTATGGGACAGATGGGTGTAACAGATGTGCACGTAAGGTGTGGATGAAGGAAGAAGTAGGAATTAGGGATGGCTGACATAATTCACCAGCTTTGAACAGCATGGTTGCCAGATGTGAAGGAGCTTAGTTCAGTGGCTAGGACCACATGGACTAGAGTCCAACTGTGGCCATGTACATCCCAGCTTGGCCAGCTGAGATACAGGCAAGTTATCCTCCCACCAAGCCTCAGTTTCCTCATCTGTGAAATGGGTGATGATAGTACCGACCTCTTGGAGTCATTGTGAGGATTAAGTCCATATTAAAGCCCTGAGCACAGTGCCCCTGCAAGGGAAGAGATCAATAAACGTTGGCTAGGAGGGGTGTGTGGGAAACACGGGTGAGAGAGCCCCATGATGGCAGGCAAAGGAGACACATGAGGCGCCTGCGGAGGGAAGGATGGGGCACAGGCCACACTCAGGTGAGCAGCTGCCATCACTGTCTTCTCTACCCACAGGGGGTCACTGGCGACTAGCTCGATGCAAACGTCGTCTGCCCTTTGTCTGCGCCTTCTAAGCCAGAAACATGTAGACCCTGCCGTGGAGCCTCTCCCATCACACCCTCCTGGCTGCCCCTGTCCCACCCTTGGCACTCTTGTTTCCCAGCCTCTCCAGGTCATAAAGCCAGACTTCCCACAGCATCTCCTGACTCTGGCTTTGTGGAGTGGGGTGGGATTTTGAGGAAAGATGGTGGAGTAGGGTGCCGGATGGGTGGGGGTGGGACAAGGGTGGGGTGGGATGCGGGCGGGGTCCTGGGGTGTTCGGCTGCAGGGCCACTTGGGGGTGAAGTGTGGACTAGGCAGGACTAAGTCTCCTCCTTGAACGCCCTTCTCAGTCCTGGTGCCTCCTGGCACCAAGGATTCCACCCGTCCCCACGGGCTCTGGGGAACGAGCTCTTTTGGTGGGGTGTGGGGATTCAGGATGGGGTGCAGGGTGGGGTGGGAGTCGGGAGGCTTTGCAAAGTGAAGGCACTGTCACTGATTCAAGAATTGGGTGGAGTAGCGAAGTTCCCCGCTACCGCCCCAATTACCACTTGGGAGGGAGGAGAAATAGTCGCCGGGGGCAGCCGGAGCCTTGAGCCTTGCAGCTTCTTCACCTCTGATAATGGCCTGTGTGTTCCTTCTCCCAGCTACCTGGGGGTGAGTTCTAGGGGCCCAGCTTCTTCTAAGAGGGGTTCCCACTCCATTCCCAGGAAGGTGGCTGTGATCCTTCCCACCCCCCATCCTTCGTCCTCTCCCCCCATCCCCAGCCTACACACATTACTGCCTCTTGGGAGGGAGAGCCTGGGGCCAAAGCCAGGGCATCTGGTAGCCGCGGGGCTCCAATCCTGGTTCTGCAGCCCCAGGTCTCCTCTGCTGCTCCCTTTCTGAGACCCCGAGGACATTGAGAGAGAACGCCGTGGCTGCTCTTGGCTCCAGGCTGAGCTCCAGCAAGGATCTGGGCTTGATGCAGCAGGAAGTTCAGGCTTGAAACTGAGGATTCAGAGGGCAGGGAGCCCTGGGTTGTGGGAGAGAGAGAGGGAAAGAGAGAGAGAGACTTCTTGAGGGGGTGGTTCTACGTGGGGCACAGGGAGAAGTATTTCTGCAGGTGTGTGTGTATCTTGGTGTGTATACCCGTGTCTATCTGTGTAGATGTGAATCTGTATTTGTAAATATGCATAAATCTGTGTGTGAGTCAGTATGTATTTGTGTGTTGTTTGTGTGTACATTTTATACATCTCTATTTATGGTTATACTTGCACGTCTGTGTACCTCTTTAAAAATTTTTTTGGGGGGTAGGTAATTCGGTTTTTATTTACTTATTTATGATGGAGGTACTGGTGATTGAACCCAGGACCTCGTGCATGCTAAGCACGTGCTCTGCCCCTGAGCTACACTCACCCTCCATGTGTACCTCTTTGAGTGTGTGTATCTGGGTAGCTTCTGCACTGGAATCTGTGTGTGCATGCATTTGTGTGTACCTCTGTGTCTTTGGCCGGTGTGTTTGGGAGTGTGTATGCATGTGTCTTTGGCCAGTGTGTTTGGGAGTGTGTATACATGTCAGTGTGTGTCCGAGCATACCTGTGTGCAGGTCTACATTCGTGTGTGTACACGTGTGTATCTGTTCAGCCACCTGATGAGATGTGAAGTTTTAGGAACAAAATGAACAGTTTCCCCAGAAGCACTTTGTTTCTAAAGGTCCTGGAGTTGAAGGAGCAGGACGGGATGGGAGAACCCCAAGGGGGAGTGGCTGGTGACCAAACAGCAGGGACGAGTCCCTTGAACATGAGCCGACCTCTGGCAGCATGAAGATGGGCCTTGGTATTGCCAGGAACCTCACCCATGCTGGGCCCAAGGACAGCCTCTAGGTGAAGAGGCCTGTCCTTAACACAGGGCTCTGGCCACCTGCCTTGGATGGAGATTGGGTCAGGAAGCTCCAAATCACAGTATGTCAGCTTCCCCAAGGGCATGGAAGGGGGGGCTGCCTTGGGGTCAGGACCCTACCCAGACCCCCTGCACTGTGTACTGCAACAAGCTAATTCTTGATGCTCTGCTTCTAAAAGAAGGAGAAACAGTTGCGGGGGTGGGGGTGGGGGCGGTGGGGGGAGCGGTGTGGGAAGGATGAGCTCTGCATAGGTAGCTCCAGGACTGAATGGCAAGCCCCCATTTATCAGCCTCCACTTATCTCCCTGATGGGGAAGGGGTTCTAGCTAATCCCAGTAGCCCAATATTCTCCTGGCCAAGACCAGAAGTAAAGGGAGGGAGGGGAAGAGGGAGATGGTGCTCAGACCCTTCCAAACTGAAGCTTGCTTGAGGCAGGCCAGCGTAGATAACATGTCTCTCAAATATCCATTTTGCTTTCTCATTAGGCTTCAACTTCAACCATTATATATTCATTCCTTTGGCTGCTTAAGGCTTTTCAGTCTTGAATAGCCCTTGATTACAAAGCAAATATTCTTAGAAGAAACTTCTGAGTGTGTTATCTATTAATACCTCTGGGAGATTGATTGGTAACTTGCCGAGAACAAGGTTTTGTGAGAAGGAACACAGGAAGAAATGATGTGTGCAACTGTTAGTGGTCATGAGTGGGGGGTTGTAGAGAAGGGAGGCCATTAAAAAGGAGATAATGAAGCAGAGAGTGCTGTGTTCCCCATTTCCTCTTGCCAGTATTCCCAGTATTCCTTGCAGTAAAGTTGGGCTCTGTGGCATGACACCGAGTCTGGTCAATGTGGGAGTGCTATAAGCCACTTCCAGGCCTGGCCTTTAAATGATCATCTGTGACCCTCCAGTTCTTCCTTTCCTTGACACGGCGATCTGGGCATCCATGTGTCTCAGATGGCATAGCTAGCAGACGGACGGCGTTGCCTGACCTACTTACTTTGTTGTGTTAAATCCCGCGAGTTTGCAATTTACTTGTTATTGCAGCAAAGCCTCTCTTAGCCTAACAAGTACGGAAAAGGTGCCAACCAACCCCTTAGTTTCTCCCAGGCAGAAGTCAAGATCCCAGACCCCATAGTCGGAGAGGTCTGGGTTCAAGTCCCAGCTCTACCATTTCAGTTTTGAACCCTTAGCCTCAATTTCTTCTATACAATGAGGGTTGAATTAGACAATGTCTGTAACACATTTAACCCATCGCTGGGCTGTGGCAAGTTACCACTGAACATTTGCTTTTATGCTGAGATGTCATTAGACATGAGTGAGGGTTCCAGTTCAGATTTCCATGTATTGTAAATTTCGTTTTCTATCAGATAGGATTAATGATAAACCATAGCGAGCTTACCGGGGTTGGTGTGAGGGACCATGTGACAATGTTGGTGATTGTGCTGGGTACACAGTGATGCAGCAGAAGTGAGTTAGCCCCTAAGTCTTGCACACGGAGCCATAACCAAGTTCAGGTGCGGGGAGGACGTCAGGCTCACACACACACACGAGTTCAGGCTCAGGATGGGCTGATGAACCCGTAGGAGGACCAGTCCGGTGGGAAGGGAGGGGCTGGAGGAAAGTGTCCCCCCAGAACAGAGATGCCTGTCTCCTCCCCAGAGAACCTCCCTGTGACCCCAGCCTCAACCCAGCCTCTTGAGAGCTGGATTCACTGGGGACACCTGTGGCGCTCCTGACTGGAGAACTGAGTGCCGCCTTCACTGATGCCTCTGCTGGTCAGATCTCCAGACACTGCCTGATTCCTCAGGCTGCCCTGGGGGAGGTGTTACCGCACCATCCTGAGGATGGGGCTGGAGTGAAGGCTGAGTGGGGAAAGGGGTAGTGGGCCTTGTGTGGGGGACGCTAACCCCTTCTTCCCCTGGGCTGGGGGGATGATTGGGGTTGGGCCTTTTCAAGTGCTGACAGCTTGATTCTCCCAAACTACTCCCCAAGCTGCCCCCTCCCCATTCCCTGCACCTTCGTAGAGGGGCCAGCCCTCCACGTGCAGTCCAGCTCATCTCTGCTAAGACCTTGCGATCTGGCCTGCACTCCAACCCTTCCAGAGGATTTGCCGGGAAGCCAGTGAAACTTACACTCCAGGCTGCTCACCTGCATGAGCCCCTTCTAGTACTAATATGGTAGGATTAAAAAAAAAAAAAGACCCACATTGCATGTGCTTCAGGCTTCAGAAAACCTGGATCTGCTCCTGAGCTCCGCCCTGGTGAGATTTCTGGGCCTCTGCTGTGGGCAAGCCATGGCCTTCCCAGACTCCTGTTCCTGCCTTCTTCCCTGCGCAGCAGGACACCTGGTTCCCTTTTGGCCGCTAACTATGTGGCACTGGACAAGTCATTTTCCCTCTCTGGCCTCAGTTTGCTCATCTGTCAGCCAGAAAATCAGACAAGACGGTTCCTAAAGTGCCTTTAGTTTCTGACATTAGAAGACCAACCGCCAGGAGTCCTGACCCGCCCGAGGGCAGTGCTAACTGGGCTCCGGGAGCAAGGGGCCCGGACTTGTGTAAGCACGTGGAGGGGCCCAGAGAGAGTGAAAGCGGCCCCTTCTCTGGCTTGGGGTGAGGGAAGGAAAAATTCACGGACAGTTACGTCTCCTGTTTCCTTCTGAATCTGGGACCTGCCCAAGTCAGAAAGAGGGAGCCCCTGCACGCCTGTCTGACTGGTCTCCCCTAAAATGGGGCCTGCCTGAGTTGCTGGGGGCAGCACGGGGCTTCCTCTTCATGAAGCTGAACTCATCATGGTCAAGGTGGATGAGGCTGAAGCAGCAGGGCAGACGCCCCCTGGGGTTCTTTTTCTCCTTGTGGGGTGTGGGTGATGGAGTGAGTCAGATCTGGATTCAAATCCTCTCGCTTCCTGGCTGTGTGGCCTGAGGCAAATGACTCAGGCTCTCTGAGCCTCAGTTTGTCTTCAAAGTAGGGAAACTAGTATCTACCTCATAGGATTATTCTAAGGATTAAATGAGATAATGTGTGTGAAAGTGCCTGGCACTTGGGCGGCCTTTGTGGCCACTGGTTATCACTATGACTGTCTCTACTCTTTGGAAAGGGGATGACTCGGGTGCTCCTGCCCTGGGGGTTCTGGGAAGCAGGCAGGGGCGAGGCCAGGGGTGAAGGTGAGACGAGGTCTTAGCAGGGAGCAGGACCTGTCTGTAGAGCACCGGGAAGGCCAGACACCTGGTCTTGGCTGAGGCCTCATGGGGTGAGCAGCAAAAATGAGAGCCCATCCCCTCTCCCACCCTCCTTGCCCAGGTGAGGTCCCCAGCTGGGAGGCCTGGAGCCCCAAGGTGAGAGTGGGACCCAGGGGAGAGGCTTTAGTGGCCAATGGAATAGGCCCCAGAGTCTGTGGACTGCTTCTCCTCCGTGGTCTGGTCGCTGGGGTACACGGGGTTGGCTGAGGCCGTGATCTTCAGCGTCATCTCGTTCACCTGCAGACAGAAAGGCTGGCATGATTGTGCTCTGACTGTGGGCAGGGTCCTCCTGTGGGCCCCCAGGGGACAGGCTCCTCGGTCGGGGCTCACGGCCTGGTCACTAGGGGAGCTGAAGCAAGTCTGAGTGACCCCAAGACTCTTCCCATGCACCTCAAGGGCAAACAGAAACCTGAGCCAACCCGCAGCGGGATTTGTCCCGCTCCAGAATCGGAGAGGGGAAATGAGTGGGTGGGGATGTTGACGGTGATGACCACAGAGCCCCCAGGCTTCTCCACAGAGCCCACTCTTGGCCAGACCCCCTCTTGTTGAGACCCGAGGGAGGCATTGAGGCCCAATGTACTCCTCTTTCAGAAGCCCCCAAAAGGTGGGCAACTGATAGTCCCGGGATCCAGCTCCCCTCCCCTGCCCTGTCCCTTTCTCGTGGGCCCCCCTCTCACCTCCTCAAACTTCTTGGCTTTGTACTGGTCGGCCCCCTTGAGGAAGTTGAGCAGGATGATGTCACAGAGGACGGTCCCCTGGAGGAGGAGAGGCAGGGTGGCTCGGAGGGGCGGCAGGGTGGGAGCAGGGCGGCAGGAAACACGGGCAGTGGGCAGGACTGCCCCCGGGCAGACAGAGGCCAGGGGTCGGGGTGAGTTCTCCAGTGACGCCTGACTGCTGGTTCCTCTTAGAAAAACATTCAGGGGCTTTGCAGAATGTCTTCCAGACTAGCCCCAATCCAAAATGCAGAGGGAGTGGAGGACTTGGTAGGAGGAGCAGAGGGATTTGGGGGGTACAGTTCCTGGGAGCAGGTCTCTGTCTCTGCCTGGCCAGCCAGGCTCCATTCCTTGTTTAAGGCTCTCAGGTCTGGGAACCCTGGCGTCTCCTTCCCTGTCCTCACAGTGGGGAGCAGTAACTTTGTAACAGGTGGAGCGCCTGCTTCTCCAGGCTGAACATGGAGGTAAAGAGCTCTCCCAGACTGGAGACGTTCACGCCAGGGCGGACCCAGTAGGGAGGTGGTGGAGGAGACTGGCTCACATTCTAGGCAGAAGAGGGCTGACCGGGGTCACTTCCCGCCCACCCCTGCCAGCCCGAGCCCCACCCTGCTGGCCTCCTGTCTGGGCGTGGAGGAGCTGAACTCACCACTCCCACGGAGGTGAAGGCCGCTACGGAGCTGATGATGGTGGGGATGATGTTGAACTTGCCAGCCTGTATGCACAAAGACAAGGAGTGAGGCTTCAGGCTGGACTTGGGCTCCCAGCCAGGGAGACCACGGAGCCGGGGGGTTCTTGGTGGGCCAGCAGGCCTCACCCGCTGTGGAGATGTGGCCGGCGAGGGTCTCAGAGCTGGGCGGTGGCAGGAACCTGCCCCACCAGAGGCGCGTCTTTAGAGCCCAGGATTGGTCTGGGTTTCCTCCCCTTTCTACCCCATCTTCCCGGCCCAAGGACTCACATTCCCGTACACCAGCACGTCGAATCGGATGCCAAAAGCCTTCAGGAGCGTGCGGTACTCGCTGCCGTTCTCCATCTTGTAGTACTTGGCAAACCTGGAGGCCAGAGGGGAAGGGAGGTCCCACTGTGCGCTCCTGTCTCTCCTGCCTGAAATTTGAGGGTCCTCTAGAGCCCTACGACCCTCACCTACTGAGCAACCCTTACTGATGCTCGGTGATGGGACACCTCCTGTGTGGTTAGCTGACCTCCTGCACAAGCATTACCCTGGGGGCTTGTTAAAAAGGTAGATTCCCAGGCCCCACCCGAACTCATGGAATCAGCATCTCTGGGGGTGGGGCCCCGGACTCTGCCTTTTAAATAATTTCCCTAAATGATTCTGATGCATATGAAAGTGTGAGCCCTGCTAGATTCCAGCTTCTTCAGTTCTTATCTGTTTGAGTGTCCCAGGGCTTGGCTCACAGCGGGTGTCTCCCTCTCTACAGGTTTGGGTTCAAAGCCTAGTTCAGCCACTTGCCAGCTGTGCAACCTTGGGCCAGTCACTTGACCTTTCTGATACTCAATTTCCTCATTTATGAGCGGGAATAATACAGAAGTCCTGCCTCAAAGGGTTGCCATGAAAATGGACTGAAACCACATGTGTGAGGGGTTTAGAACAGTGCCTGGAACAAAGTAAGAACAAAGGAGTGTTCACTGGTGTTGGCTGGTGATACTGATGAAGAAATGCACTGATCTCTAGAACGGTTTATACAGCAATTTAAAAAAGTGCCTTCAGACACCTTATCTCATTCACTCTCTCTACAAACCTGTGAGATACAGGGATGTGACTGCTCTAATTTTTGAATGGGGCTCCCAGGGTCAAGTAACGGGTCCAGCGTTACCCAACTGGCTGAGACACAGTGCTGGATTTTCCCCAGTTCAAGAATTTGCCCCCTAGGCCTTCTCTGTCTGGCCTGCTGGGTGCTAGGGCTGTGCTGGAGACTGAGAAGAATGATCACGTTTAATTCCCACTGAACAAAGTGAGGCGGGTGCTCACAGCCCCATTTGGAAGATGCTGGTGCAGGTGAAGGGACTTGCCTGTGTGCTCACAGTTAGGAAGGATTCAAAATGCCTTGTCTTTTGGCTTCTAAAGCCATTGCATTTCCCACTGTGTGATTCTGACCACCATGGGCAAAACTCTCACAACAGCAAAGTGTGGTCTCTTTGAGCTGCTGTCCCAACGCTGTGATGTAGGCTTCCGATGCCAACATCCTGGGAAAACGGTGAGGATTAAATGAGCGGATGCTCACCAAAGGGCCCAGGAAGCTCTGTAACTGGAGAGGGGGGTTGATATTGGTGCCAGCTCCCTCCCTTTCAGTGCTCCCACTCCCCACAGATCCCCCGGGCCTGTCCCAGGCCTCCCCCCCGCACAAAAAGGGGGCTGAGAATCTCACTCCCTGGAAGTGTCCAGCAATTGACATGACGCCCCTCCCAGGGATGTCTGCATTCCAAACCGTCCAGCCCCTGGATAGATCACAGAGGGAGGGGTCGCAGGCATGGGAGGAAGGTCATTTGTGGTGGGGAAGAGCCCCCCTTAAACGGAAAATATTGGCCACTGTCTGCTCTGGCTCAGGGAACTTTGGAGTCAGGCTTCACCACTTGCTGGCGGTGTGAGGCCTTTGTATGTGCCTTAGCCCTCGGGGCTTCACTTCCCACGCAGGGGTGCTCAGGCCCCCCTCGCAGGCCTATTAGGGAGGGGGCGAGCACTGAGACCAGCCCTTCCAGGGGGCACTGTCCCGATCCCTGGGTTGAAAGTCTGCCTGTCACTCCACACCCAGTCTCCGCCCTTCTCTGCAGGGGCTGGGAGCCTGGTTGGCAGAGACCACTTCCACCCAGCTCCCTGCGCTCTGGTTCCAGCTGCGTTCAGCCAGTGGGAAGCACCCCCAGTCACCCAGAGGGCGGGAGGGAAGAAGAGTCAGGGTGTTTGGTCTCCTAGCTCCTCTAACAGCAGCTGAATTCCCACCTAAGGCCCGGGGCCCGTAGAGTGGCCTGTCCTACCGTCACATCCATGTCTCCAGGCTCTGTGACTCCTCCCTCCTCTTGCCCTGCCAGCCTGGGAGGGGGCAGCTTTCCCGTGGCCGCTCTGGTCCTTGCCTGGGCTTCCAGCATCCCTTTACTTGCTATACAGCTTTGCAAATGGTTTCCTTCATTCAGTCTCCTCTTTTGAGACCACCGGCTGTTTCGTCTCAGGACACCTGTCCCTACCATCCCCATTTTACAGAGCGGGAAGCTCGGGCCTGGCGAGGTTTGTCTGGGTCAGGAAAGGAGTGCAGGAGGAGGGCGGCACACTGTCCACCTCTGTGCCTGGGCACAGCAGGAGCTCGTGCGCCCGAGTGATGCACCTGTTACCCGACTAAGGCCATAAAAAGGCTGTAAGCTATTCGGTGAGAAAACACTGTCTGGGAAGCCCGATCTGGGAAGGTGTTTCCTGTGGGCTTTGCAGCTGGTGGGAGAGGCGAAGGAGGCAGGATGATCTTCTTGAGAGTGAGACCCAGAATAAAAACGAGAGTGGCCCCGGGAAGGAGGCTGAAAGACAGGCAACTACTTTACCCCAAGAACAACGGCTTGGCGGGCCAGGAGAGAGGGGAGCGGCCACACCATCCTTAAAAATCTGGTAAGTGTGGTCTGGGTGGTGGTGGCAGATAGCTTCACAGACCAAAGCAAAATAGGGTGAACTCAAGTTACACCACAGGAGGAGAACAGGACAGACCCCAGCAGGGAAATCCTTTCTACAAAGATGAGGAGGCCCCAGAATGTAATTCTACAAGGAGGCCTCTCAGGAGATTAAAAGGAAATTTGTGAAAGAAGTATCTGGGATGGGCAGGAGGCTCCAGGAAATCTTCACTGTGGCTTCAGGTTGGCCTGAGGCAAAGTGTGGAAGTCACCACCTCCACACCTGCATTTACGGAGCGGCAGAAAACTATGCATCTCTCTTAAGCCTCTCAGGTGCTCCCACAAAGACGGCACTGCTGACTCATTTTGTAGATGCAGAGACAGATGAGAAGGCAACTTGCCTGAGCTGGAATTCTGATCCACACTTACAGCTCCAAAATCTGCGCTATTAACCCAGTACGGTCCTGCCTCCGAGATCTGAGTGGCCACTGAGGACACAGGCAGCCTTCGAGCCAGATCTCAGAGCCCTTCTCTGTCCTGTGTTCTGTTTCACATCACTGGAGAATTCAGGGCCCTTGTCTGAGAGACATGGCAGCTGAGATATGGGCAGTGGGTAAGGGTGGGAGGCGAGATCACAGATGTTTGGGGCAGGGCAGAGCCGGGGACTGTGGTCCTGAGGTTTGCGTCCCGGCCTAGGGCTGCAGCCATGAAAGATGCTCTGACATGGACTCGGAGAACAAAACGCTGGCATCCTGGGCACTGCCATTCAAAGCAGGGCTGGCTAAATTTATCTCGGGAAGGAATGTGAAGGGAACAGGGAGAAAAAACCAAAGCGGACTTGGTTTCTCTCCAGCACCTGCCTTCCAAGAGGCAATAAACATGATAAGATCATTATCTCACCACCCACCCATCCTTGGAGGAAGCTTGGCAGAGACCAGTTCTCTCCCCGGGTGGGAAGGAGGAGGAACAGCACTCAGGGAGGGAGGCCCAGGCCACAGACTGGGGAAGGACCCAGGCATCCTGGCTTCTGCACTCAGTGTGGCCAGTGGGGATCACGGAACGTGGCCCAATCCTGTGGCAGAGACCGGCTTGGGGCTCACCAGGATCTGGGTTATCTTCTCTCTGGGTACACAGCTGGACCATATTTCCCAGCCCCCTGGCATCTGGCTGGGGCCCCATGATTAGTTCTCATCAATGGACTGTGAATGGACGTGAGGTCTGTTCCCTCTGGGCTGAGGTGGGTTAGAGCCGTGCGCCTTCCTCATCCTCCCTTTCCTCATGGCCATGTGCTCAAGAGCCAGGGGAGAACTCAGGCCCTAGAGAAGACTCTGTCAACAGGTGGCAGGAGCCCAGATCCCTGGATGACTTCATGGAGCTCCCCACTCACCCTGACTCACAGGCTGCCATGAGCAAGACACAAACCTCTGTGCTAAGCCACTGAGACGTGGGGGCTGTTTGTTACAGCAGTTAGCAATATTTACCCTGACTGTTACAAACTCCTTTAATGTCATAGCTGAGAAGACTGAGGCTCAGGGAGGAGAAATGATTTGCCAAAAGACAAAGAGTGTGTTTAAATTGGGGAGTAATTCAAGATAAGACACACAGAGAGGGCAAATCTCAATGATGCCACATTCCTAGGAATAAACCCTCCAAGGAGGTCCCAGGAGATCTGGCTGTGGTTCTGTAGCTGGTCTTTAACTAGCTTTTTGATCCTGGGCAAGTCACTCAACCTCTCTGAGCTTTTTGCCTGGACTGAGAAATTATAGGAAGGATGAGATGATGTTCAGATGTAGTGAGTGCTTAAAGTCAGCCCCTTGGCTTTCTTGTTCTAAGGTCAAATAGGATATGAAATAAGAATATCTACTCTTGTCTTAACCATCACACTCTACTGCTTCTTGGATAAGAACATTAGCAACAATAATAGCCCACACGTGCTGAGTGCTTACTGCGAGCCCCACGCCGTGCTAAGGGCTCTCCACTTCCTAGCTCATTTAATACTCACAACCACCGCATGCTAATTCGCTGCTTGCTGTTATTCCCATTTTACAGATGAGGAGTCAGGGTCGGAGGGGCTAAGCCACCTGACTAAGGTCACAAAACCAACAGTCAGTGAGTGAGGATGGGATTCAAAGAGGGGCAGTCCAGTTCCAGAGCCCACACTCTTAGCCAGTGTTCTAGATTGTTCTTTTGGTTACCTGGTTTCTGTTAGGTCCTGGCTAATTTCTTTCCACTCCCCAGCTGGGAGGCCCTTTTGCATTTGCAAAATGACCCAGAGTCATTGAATGGGAGTAGAACAGAAAGCATAGGAGAGCCATGAAGTGTCATTGGGAAGACCTCCAGCCTCCTCATCTGAAAAGGGGAAGGGGCTGAGCTACCCCATGCTGGGGCCCTGATTTCTCCCAAATCCTCCCATTCCTACCTCTCCGGCATTCGTCTTCTTGGCTGG